AATTCACAGTAGCTAAATTATGGAACCAGTCTTGGTGTCCGTCAATGGATGAATGGATCAAGAAAATGTGGTAGATATACATAATGGAGTTTTATTTGGTCATAAAGAAGAACGAAATTATGTCATTTGTGGGAAAATGGATGAAACTTGAGATCATAAGCCAAACTCTGAAAGTCAAAGGTCATATGTTTTCTCTCATAAGTGAAAGCTGGAGAGGAAAAAAGAAAAGAAAGGTGGGGACAGATTTTATGAAAATCCAAGGGAGTTCAGTAGTATAGCAGAAAGGAACCAAGAGGTAGGAGGAGGGAAGGAAGGGGAAATACTGGGGTATGATATTGATCAAATTGTGTTGTTATATTGTGTGCATGTATAAATATGTAACTGCAGATCCCACCAAAATGCATAATTAAAATGCACCAATAAAAATATGGGGAGAAACAATAAAATACTACTTTATATCCATAAATTGGATAATACAAAAAAACAATGAAAAACTTCTTCAGAGGCAAAAACTACTCAATAATACCCAACAAATATTTATCCTCAGTGGCTCTATTTTATTTATTTATTTATTTATTTATTTATTTATTTATTTATTTATTCATTCTAATTTGATATATATGACAGAAGAATGCATTACAATTCATATTACACATAAAGAGCACAATTTTTCATATCTCTGGTTGTACACAAAGTATATTCACACCATTTGTGTCTTCATACATGTGCTTACAGTAATAATGTCCAACTCATTCCACCATCTTTTTCACCCCTATCCCCTCTCCCTTCTCCTCCCACCTCTCTACCCTATCTAGAGTTCATCTAATCCTCCCGTGCTCTCTCTCCCAACCCCACTATGAATCAGCCTCCTTATATCAGAGAAAACATTCGGCATTTGGCTTTTGGGGATTGGTTAACTTCCCTTAGCATTATATTCTCCAACTCCATCCATTTACCTGCAAATGCCATGGTTTTATTCTCAAACTTTTATTGCTGAGTAATACTCATTGTGTATACATACCACATTTTCTTTATCCATTCATCTACTGAAGGGCATCTAGGTTGGTTCTGCAGTTTAGCTATTGTGATTTGTGCTGCTATAAACATAGATGTGGCTGTGTCCCTGTAGTATGCTGTTTTTAAGTCCTTTGAGTATAGACTGAGGGAGAGGGATAGCTGAGTCAAATGGTGGCTCCATTCCCAGCTTTCCAAGGAAATCTCCATATTCTTTCCATATTGGCTACACCAATTTGCAGTCCCACCAGAAGTGTATGAGTGTGACTTTTCCCCACATCCTCGTCAACACTTATTGTTGTTTATCTTCATAATAGCTGCCATTCTGACTGGAGTGAGATGAAATCTATTTGCATTTCTCTAATTGCTAGAGATGATGAGCATTGTTTTGATATATTTGTTGATTGATTGTATATCATCTTCTGAGAAGTGTCTGTTCAGGTCCTTGGCCCATTTATTGATTGGGCTATTTGCTTTTTTTGGTGTTTAGCTTTTTGAGTTCTTTATATACCCTAGAGATTAGTGCTCTTTTTGATGTGTGAGGGGTAAACTAAAATCTTCTCGGCAAAAGAAACAATCAGTGAGGCGATTAGAGAGTCTACATCCTGAGGTTCTACTCTGTTAAAGGGATTGTGATTCTTGTTAAAAAACTTTCAACAAAGTTAACTAGAAACCTAGATGGATTTGCTGGTTATAAAAAAGGGGGCAGTTTTGAAGGGGAAGAGGCTCTGTCTTCATTGCTTTGATTGTAGTCATGCTTTCATGGACGGACGGGTCATTATTTATTAAATTGTACATTTTAACTATGCACAGGTATTGTATGTGAATTATACCTCAATAAAGCCATTAAAAGGAAAAAGAAAAAAAGCGGCCCCAAATCTCGGAGCCATTGTCAATGGATTTCTCACTCTCAAATGTAATCAGGTGCTTCCAATGTTGACCAATGACCATCTTCTCCTTTTGCAAACAAGCATTTATTTTGAGCAAAAATTTCCCGTTTCACGTTTTGTTTGCAAATTCTAGTGCTGTAGCATCCAAATATTGGTGCTAGAAGGACAAGTGAGTGCAAGGGTGACACTTTTACAGGAAGGGAAGCAGCATGCGAGAGGCCAGCTCACCCACATGTGTTGGCATGGCTGGGACCAGCACCTGGCATGTTCTGTGGTCAACTGAGTGCTTTTCCCAGGGCCTCCATTGGGAGGTGAGTCCATGTTCCCTTTGCTCTGCCATTTACGGTTGCTTCCCTTGAGCTCATTGCCAGTTTGTGTCTTGGGGCTGGAGAGTAACCTTTCTGGTATGTTGGGGGTCATGTTCATGATCATAAAGCTCCAAATCCACACCCAGGCTCAGCCAAGGGCAAATGTCTTAGCTTCTCTGGGCTCATGTAACATGGGGGAGAAGGCAGCCTGTTTCATGGGGCTGCCTGGTATGGTTTCAGACACTGTCATTCACCCCATTTGTTTATATATTCTGTAGGGGCCAAGCCAGTCTCTGAATGGTCTCTCACCCAGGGTGGGCAGAATTGAGACCCATTCCACTTATTTTATAGCCCTTGAACCTGCTGGGGTATGGCTGGCTGGGCTGAGCTCAGCTCAGCTCCTCAGAACCAAATGGTACACAGGGAAAGATGAATATGCTTAGCTTTCCAAAAGCAATCACCCTGTGTAGTTATCAGAAAAATTTCATTCAGCATCCTGGTGGAAGGAAGCAGAGATGCAAATGAACCTGGAATTTATATTTTCCTTGGGATAAATTATATGACATCAGCAGGTGCATAGCAGCTTTTCTTCCTGGACTATTTTCTGCACAGGTGACTGCTACAATGTACAACTAGTCCCCAAGTGCCCATCAGCTTGCAGGCTGGGGAGCCAGCCTGGAGGCCTGAGGATTTCATGGTGGCTCAGTGGTAGTGCTCTTGCCTAGTCTGTGTGAGGCACTGGGTTTGATTCTCAGCATCACATACAATTAAATGAGATAAAGGGATTGTGTCCATGTACAACTCAAAAAGAATCCAGGCTAGCATTAGATATCTGAGTTTCCCAGTTGAGTGTTTGGAAACATACCGCTCTCCTGCCTCTGGTTTAATGATTGGTAACATTTCCCAGGGGGCAGTGTGACCAGGGGAGCAAATACCGACAGCCGTATCAGGAAGCCGATGAAGTCCTAGCCGTCTGACTTTGGGCCAAGTGTGTAACGGGGTCTCGAATACTCATCTGTGAGTCCCCACTGTACTCCATTCTTGTGGGGACTAAATGAAAGTGTATAGGGCATGTGGCACATTCTGTGTGCCCAGGTAATGCAGCTCTGATGCTTTTTCTGCTCATAAGTAGCTTCTTAAACTTCTCCTTTTCAAGAACACCCTGTTTCCTAAGTTTCTAAAATCCGGGGAAGAAAACAACTGCCAATCTCAACAGAAACCCGTGACTGGGGCCATCCATGCCATGAGGTTCTTACCTCAGAAATAGAAGAGAGACCACAGGTTAGATCCGTATGGTCCTTTATCCCCAGTAGTGGCACTAATCAAAGTTATGGCCACACACTCTATTTCTTAGATGTAATAAATTGGTTTAAAAAGCAAACAGAGGGCTGGCGCTGTAGCTCAGTAGTAGAGTGCTCGCCTGGCATGTGTGAGGCACTGGGTTTGATCCTCAGCACCACATAAAAATAAACAAATAAAATAAAGGCATTCTGTCTATCTA